CCTCCCCTCGTTCTCTACGAACTTGGTGAGTGGTGCTGACCTACAGGATGGGGGGGTTGACCAGTTCACTCCTGCGCGTCAGAGAGTGACTCACTGCACGTGTGCTCAGACGGGCCGTCACTTGGCCACGTTCACCCACCAGCCGGGGTCGAGCCTGTACACACTCACTACTGAGTCTCCTCCGGTTCCTGCGTCCAGTCAAGTAGCTGCGTCGGGTCAGGTGTTTGCTGCAGCGTCCAGGTCTGGTCCTGAGTCTGCCCCCTGCTCGTGTCGCCTCTTGTCTTACCAGACTCTCCTCTGGCACCACCGCCTTGGTCACCCCTCCCTGCCCCGTCTTCGGGGCATGGCCTCCCGTGTCCTTGTCTCCGGTCTGCCCCGGTCCCTCCCTCCCCTTCCCCCGGGGCCTGCCCCTACCTGCGTTCCCTGCGTCGAGGGGCGGCAGCGCGCCGCTCCTCACTCCTCCGAGTTTCCTCCGACAGAGGCTCCGCTGCAAACTCTCCACATGGACGTGTGGGGCCCAGCCCGCGTCCGTGGACAGGGTCACGAGCGTTACTTCCTGCTGGTGGTTGACGACTACTCGCGTTACACCTCAGTCTTCCCCTTGCGCCGCAAGGGTGAGGTCACTGAGGTGTTGATCGACTGGATCCGCGCTGCCCGTCTCCAGCTCAGAGAGAGTTTCAGCTCGGACTTTCCTGTTCTGCATCTGCACTCCGACAGAGGTGGAGAGTTTTCCTCCGACCTTCTGCGAGCCTTCTGTCGTGCGGAGGGCATCCGCCAGACGTTCACGCTTCCGGCCTCTCCACAGCAAAATGGGATTGCTGAGCGCCGCATTGGCATGGTCATGGACGTCGCTCGTACGTCCATGATCCATGCGGCTGCTCCCCATTTTCTGTGGCCGTTTGCGGTTCAGTACGCGGCGCAGCAGATCAACCTTCAACCCCGTGTCTCCTTGCCGGAGACCTCCCCCACCCTGCGGTGGACGGGGAAGGTTGGCGATGCGTCTGCGTTCCGTGTCTGGGGATCTCGGGCTTTCGTCCGAGACTTGTCTGCGGACAAGCTGTCCTCGCGTGCTGTTCCCTGCGTCTTCCTTGGCTTCCCCCCAGACGCGCCTGGTTGGCAGTTTTACCACCCCACCTCGCGCCGTGTTCTGTCCTCCCAAGACGTCACGTTTGACGAGTCGGTGCCGTACTACCGTCTCTTCCCCTACCGCGCTGCCCCCCCCCCCCCCCGCCGCTCTTCCTTGCACCAGGTCCCCCCCCGGTAGACCTCCTCCCCCCTCAGGGTCCTGTCCCCTCAGGTGTGTCTCAGGTAGACGCAGTCGAGCCTGTCGAGGTAGCTGTTGACTCTGGTGCTGCTAGGGGTGCTGAGCCTGCGGGTGCCGGATCTGGGGGTGCTGAGCCTGAGCGTGCGGAGCCTGGGGGTGCTGGGGCTAGGGGTGCTGGGACTGGGGGTGCTGGGACTGGGGGTGCTGTTTCTGGGGGTGCTGAGCCAGAGGTTGCTGAGTCTGGGGGTGCGGAGCCTGGGGGTGCGGAGCCTGGAGGTCCTTCGGGTGCTTCGCCTCGGCGGGAGCTCCTCTCTCCACGGGAGCTGCGCGAGTGGTTTGCTCGGCGTTGGAGTCGTGCTGCTGGAGCTGGTGTCGCTGCTGGTGCTGGAGGTTCTACTGCTGCTGGGGGTGCTCGAGCCACGGGTCCCGGAGGTGCTCGTACTGGAGGTACTGGAGCTGCTGGGCCTGGTGGTTCTACTGGTGCTGGAGCTGCTGGGGGAGCTGGTGCTGGTGGTGCTGCTGGGGTCGGTGCTGCTGGGAGTACAGGAGCCGGTGCAGCTGAGTCTTCTGGTGGTCCTCCTGGCGCTGGTGCTGCTGGAGGTTCTGGAGCTGGAGGTGCTGCTGGAGTTGGAGCTGGAGGTTCTGGAGCGGGTGGTACTGCTGGAGCCGGTGCTCCTGGGGCTACTGGAGTTGGCGCCCCTGGTGCTGCTGGAGGTGCTACTGGAGCTGGTGGTGCCGCTGGAGTTGGAGCTGCAGCTGAGGGTGCTGGTGCTGTCCCTGCTGCTTCTGGAGGTGCTGCGCGGCCTCGGCCGTACTTCGTTCCCCTCCTTCAGCAGGTTCTTGGCCTTCCGCCTTCCAGTGGTCCTTCTCCTGCCTTAGAGTGTCCACAGCCAGTCCCCTCCAGGTCACAGTTACAGCTGGCCTGTCCACTGCCTGCCCCTTCTCCCTACGCTGGTCCTACTGGAGGTCTTGCTGAGCGTCGTGAGCCTGAGTCGCGTCCAGCGTCGCCTGTTCGTGCTGTTCGCACTGGTTGCCGTGTTCCGCGTCAGCGTCCTCCTACGGTCCCAGGCACGCACCAGATGGCACTGCGTCCTTCCACTGCTCCACAGCGTGTCCCTCTGCCGTCTCCTCCTGCGTCCTCTCTTCCTGCTCTTGCTGACCCGGAGTCTGACTCTCTGCGTGCTGCCAGTCCTACTGTCACGCGTCTCCTGGCTACTGTTGTCACTGACCCTTCTTTTGAGCCCACAGCTGCGTCTGCCTTAGTTGCTGAGCTTGTTGACTTCGCTGCTCACTGTCGTCTAGACTACGCTGCCAGTCTTGTTGCTGAGTCTGAGTCTGTCTGTCCTCCGTCCGTCGGGGGTGAGTGTGCTCTTGGCACGGACGTCCTTGAGGACAGGCAGGAGGAGTTCCAGTGTTTTGCTGCTGCTTTACCTCATCTCGTGTCCATGCTGATTGCCCCTGAGGGAGACCCGGATGCACCAGACATCCCGACTCCGCGCTCTTACGCGGAGGCGATAGAGGGTCCCTACTCCTCTCAGTGGCAGTCAGCCATGGACGCAGAGATGGCTTCCTGGAAGTCCACAGGCACCTACGTTGACGAGGTTCCCCCGCATGGGGCGAACATCGTCAGTGGCATGTGGATCTTCAGGGTGAAGCGGCCGCCGGGTTCTCCGCCTGTCTTCAAGGCGCGCTACGTGGCTCGAGGCTTCAGTCAGCGGCAGGGAGTTGACTACTTTCAGACCTTCTCTCCCACCCCGAAGATGACCACTCTTCGGGTGCTGCTGCACATAGCCGCTCAGCGGGACTACGAGCTTCACTCTCTTGACTTCAGCACTGCTTTCCTACAGGGCAGCCTGCACGAGGAGATCTGGCTGCGCCGTCCTCCTGGCTTCACTGGGTCGTTTCCTCCTGGTACCCAGTGGAGCCTCCGACGGCCAGTCTACGGTCTCCGCCAGGCTCCCCACGAGTGGCACGACACACTGAGGACTACTCTAGCGGCTCTTGGGTTTGCTCCTTCTACTGCTGACCCGTCGCTGTTTCTGCGCACCGACACCTCGCTGCCGCCGTTCTACATCCTCGTGTACGTCGACGACTTGGTCTTTGCTACTGCTGACACTGCTGGACTCGCCCACGTGAAGTCGGAGCTGCAGAAGAGACACACGTGCACAGACCTGGGTGAACTGCGCAGCTATCTTGGCTTGCAGATCACCCGGGACAGAGCACGCCGCACCATTACCCTGACTCAGTCACACATGGTGCAGCAGGTCCTTCAGCGCTTCCGCTTCACGTACTCCTCGCCTCAGGCCACTCCTCTGTCTACGCGCCACTCGCTCTCAGCTCTGCCTTCGGATGAGTCCGTAGAGCCGAGTGGCCCGTACCCATAGCTTGTTGGCTGCCTCATGTACCTGATGACCTGCACGCGTCCTGACCTAGCATACCCTCTTAGCATCTTGGCACGCTATGTTGCTCCTGGGAGACACCGACCAGAGCACATGGCTGCAGCGAAGAGGGTGTTGTGCTACTTGTGTAGTACGTCGGGCATGGGGCTTGTGCTTGGAGGGCAGAGTCCAGTGGTCCTCACTGGTCACGCAGACGCTTCTTGGGCTGACGACTTGGCTACACAGCGGTCGTCACAGGGTTACACCTTCAGCCTTGGTTCCGGCTCTGTTTCGTGGCGGTCTACCCGCTCGTCTTCTGTTCTTGGCTCCAGCTGTGAGGCCGAGATCTACGCAGGGGCCATGGCTGCACAGGAGTTACGCTGGCTCACCTACCTGCTGACCGACCTGGGAGAGCCGCCTCGTTCTCCTCCAGTTCTGTACGTAGACAACAAGGCCATGCTGGCCTTGTGTCGGGAGCACAGATTGGAGCACAGAACGAAGCACATTGCTCTTCGCTACTTCCTTGCTCGTGAGCTGCAGCAGCGTGGTCAGCTGCGCCTTGCTTACGTGGCCTCTCAGGCCAACACTGCTGATATCTTTACCAAGGCACTTCAGCCTTGTGATCATCAGCGCTTTTGTACGATGCTAGGTCTTGTGCCTACTTGGCCTCACTTGCTCACTTCTTGACTTTGCCTGTACTGTGATCTATATATACATGCACTTACTTGTTTACCTTTATATATATGATCCTGCATGTGAACTGGCCTTGTGGCCTTGAACCTGTGCTCGGAATGTGTGGTGACGTTGTGATCCACCCTGAGCTTGCTTTGCTTTGCTTGACTGGTCTTGTGACCCCTAGTTCTCCCCCACTCTGCCTATGGGGGTGTGTCAGATTTCTATTACTTCGTCACTGTAGGCTACTGTGGGGTAGACACTAAGGGGTACAACTCTTTAGAGCTTCATATTTGTATCGATCTCATTTTCTAGTTCATTCATCCTTCATTCTTTCACACGTCGCGCATTTGACGCTTGAGAGGGCTGACGCTGCATCTTTGTGCAGTTATTTGCTTTCCCACCTCAGGGCTGTCGGCGTTGACCTCCGGCGTATCTCGGGAGTGAGCACGGATGGCGCCTCTGTGATGGTGGGGAGTCAAAACGGTGTGGTTGCTCGTCTGCGACAGCTCATCCCCAACCTGGTCTCGTTTCACTGCATCGCTCAACGGTGCGTATGTGTTTTAATGCCATGTGTAAATGTCAGTGCAGTTAGTTTATTAATATCTAACTGTGCATGTGTGGTTTTGTTTGGCAGGGAGGCCTTGGCTGCCAAGGCCGCAGCGGAGGCGATACCAACCTTCAACATGGTTGACGACGTGATCCGCGCCGTCGCAGAGTACCTCGGGCGATCGGGGCCGTGGCACCAGCGCTTCATGGAGCTCCAGGAGGTGTTCACGTCCACCAACCTCGAGGTCCAAGGCATACACGACGTGCGGTGGCTGTCCAGAGGAGCTGCAGTCATCCGCTTCGTCCAAGTCCTACCTGCCATCATGGTCATGTTGTCGGAGTGGAAGGACCAGACCATGTACGAACTCGTCACGTCGTACAGGTTCCAGTTCCTCATCAGGTTCCTCGCGGATATGCTGGAGCAGCTCAACGTCATCTCCTCAGTTTTCCAGAAGCGAGAGGTAAGTGACTTCCTGGTTGTTGCTTGTATTGGTTCAAGTACAAAACCCGGTGTACTAATTTTCATTGTATGTTTGTGATGCAGCTCGACTACGCGCTGGTGCACACGCAGATTGTGCGCACCACATCGATCTTGGAGGCCCGGTACATCGACTGTGGAGACGACTTCGGGGGGGGGGGCGACCGAGAGGCTCTACCGCTTCATTGAGAAGCACGCTCCGAGTGGGTCACCAGAAATGGTGGTGGAAGGAGCATCCTCCGACGGCAGTATGAACCGCTTCAAGGTTAAGCTTCACGAGCGCACCAACCCGAGCTATCGTGGGCCATTTTATCACCACGCCTGCGTTGCGCTCTGCACCGACATGGCCGAGCTCGTCGTCGAGAACCTCCAGTCCAAGCTCGGCGACCTCAACTCTCTTTCGGGAGTGAGGCTGTTTATTCCGGAGATGTGGCAACCGCAGTGGGACCGGAACGCACGGCAGGCACAGTGCCTGGAGTGGCTGTTGTCGCTTGTCACGTTGTTTCGCGCAGATGAAGCCGACGAGATCCTACCTGGTATGTTTTTGTGTCACCCCGCCCCGTTCTCCCTTTGACTATGGCTCGTTTACTAAACCCGTGTGCTGTTTTACCTTGCAGGCATTGACAAGAAGAAAGCCGTGAGGGAGCTGCGCACACTGTGTCCAGTCCTTGCCAGAGCTCCGAAGAGCGAGCGCAAGTTCCACACGGGACTTACCGCGATTCTCAGGACACCCGACTGGCAGCAGGCGTACCCCAACCTCGTCGGACTGTGGATTGCGGTGCTGCCTCTCAGCACGGTCGAGTGTGAGCGAGGATTTTCCCGACAGAATCTCATCAAAACGTGGCAGAGGGGCAGCATTAAGGATTGTAGGCTGAGTGATCTACTCTGTATTTCACTCCTAGACTCTATAGATGTCCCAGGAGTAGTAGAGATATGGCGCAGCTACAAGAAGCGCCGGCCGGTCACAGCACCTGCTGCAAGGCACATGGAGGAGCCCTCAAGGGCCGGGAAGGAGCCTGTAGACGAGGCAGTAGTAGAACGTGCCCCTGTAGTATCTCTGTTAGACTATCAAGAAGAAATGTAAGAGGTTTACTTAGTGCTTTCATATATGCAGGAAAATTGACTGTTACTCTGTATGATCAGCGTTGAAATGCAAGTGTAGTCTGAATTCTCAAACTTAAAAAACCGAGTCACTCTGACAGCCAGACTAGGAAGAGCGGTGTACTCTGAGGCCTCAGACTACCTCAAAACCAATCTAGGGGCATGGTACATGGCTAGCTAGATCCATTTATTGCTTGTAATTGTCTCTTTTCAACAATCTTGTCATCTACATTCACTATGCACAAGGTTTTCATCACTCCAAAGACTTCCGCTACCAATCTGTAAGGCAATCTATTCTATCCAATATCATTATTCTAACAGTAATCACTACTACGAGCACAAGAATTCCAATTATCCGTTGCATTACTCTTTGAGACTAATATCTCAAATATCCTAGGGCTTCATCTCAGCCTAGCAAACCCCTAGTCTTCACTTACCGTGGATATTAAGGCGAACGTTGGCAATGTTTGTTGTGATAAGGAGTTAAAACTAGGCTTAGGAGAGACTAGATCGAGTGGCATGGCGAGAGTTACGGGAAGGAGAAGGGAGAGTTGAGAATGGAGGGGATTCACTATAGGAAAACAGAAACATATAGGAGAAAGGAGGGGAGGTGCACCACCAAAACAAGCATATAGCTATACTATAGGATGTACTGTAGGCAGGTATATAAATGTACACAAATACATTTCAACAATCTTATAGCTTGATTCAACAATAATGTTGCACATTTGTTTCCGTTTGGACATTGCATCCATTTCAGCTCCAATAATCACTTAAAAATCAAATCCAACTATTTATGAAGTACTGTTGTACATGCAAGTGAATTTTATCAACCCTAATAATTGCCTTTAAATAGCTTTGTATAGTATTGGGGTGTGGTACATGAAATCATACGTTTTATTGAATGGTCGTAACCTGGTACATGAGAACATGACTATTTCTTATGGGGCAGGCCCGGCCTCGGATGTCGGGATCTCCAGGTGCAGCGTGCAAACGTGGCACGATGGATTGTAGTGGTCCACGTTTTGAACTAATATTCTTTATTATGACACAAACGTATGATCTGCATCCACGTCAGCTCTGAACGAGGCCAGGTACGAAGGATGAATGCAATCAATCCGCTCTTGCTTTCACAACTAGCACAACCAGCCCGCCCTGCATTGCTTCTCAAATCAACCATCCTTCTGAAAGGGTGTCAAGCTGTTCACCTCAACACTGACACTGTTTCCAGATTGTCACTCCTGCACCTGACTTAGTTGCTGATTCCCACGCGGTCATAACTCGGTGCGACGAAATAACTTGTGCGTCATTGACTTCCTTCGAGGTGAGGAATTTGCATTGTTAACGTGAGCGTGAGTCACGTGAATTCTTTCTTGCACACTTGGATGCATTCCTCCGTAGCTTATGAATGTTCCCTCGAAACATTCTAAGACTTCGAATAGCAATGTTGCTGTGACGAAGCTAGCAGGGTGTCATGTCCAATCCGCGCTTGTCTCTACTTGGCTTCATGAATGCTTTTCTTGTAATACCACAAGGGAGTGTACTCACCATAGCAGTGTAAATAGAAATGCATCGAGAGCACCGTACTGTAAATGCTAGGAAGCGGGGAAAGGGATGATGAAGAACGTAGGATTTAAAGCCCGACATAGTGAAACTGCATTACGTCTACACCACCATTTCATGCTGCATTATCCGCCTTCGCTTTTTGCTTTCGGTGCTTCTGGGATTTCTTCCCTACGCTTGCCGATATCCTCACTCTTGCTGCGGTACTAACGACGTCCCTTTTCCGTTTCCTCCCTTCCTATACCGGCCATCCCCCTTCCCGCTTATCTCGTCTCCCCATCAGAGCCGTAGCAGCTTATAACCGGCTACCCTTAAAAGTCCCTAGTATGAACCCTTCGTGCCCGTCCCTTCATCACTGATAAATCTTATTCCTCTAATTCCTATGATTCCTCTCGTTTCTCCCCGTCCATCCCGTTTCCCCTCTCATCAGAGCCATGGCTGCTCAAAACTCCTCCGACTTCCTTCAAGGGGCCCTCGCCCTGGCCTGCACGCTCCCCCCTCCCTGCAGTGCGCACTACTCCGCCTCCGCGCCCACCCTCTCCGCGGATTCCGCCGTCCTCCCCGCCTCCGCGCTCCCCTTCTCCCCCCTCTCTCACTCCCTCCTCCGCATGAGCGCAACCACCAAGCCGCTCGCGCTCCGCGCCACCTCCCCCTCCCCGCTCCGCGACCTCCAGCAAATCACCGAGCGCCACGTGGCACTCGCGCGCCAGTTCGCGCTGGGATTCGCGCAGGAGGTGGCGGAAGCCGCACTCGACCATCTTGCTGACGTGTACTACGCGCTGATGCTGGTGGGAGAGCGGCTCCGCCTCCCCCTGCTTGGTTCCCCCTCCTCCTCCCCTTCCGCGGAACCCCTTCACCTGCTCATGAAGCAGTCAAACGCCCCGTTCGCTGCCGTGATTCCCGGCGATACTGTAGCGGAGCTGGTCGTGACACAGGGAATCTACAGCTTCCTTAACCTGTACAACACTGTGCTTATAGTGAGGATTCTCCTCACCTGGTTCCCCAACGCTCCTTCCGCCATCGTCAGCCCCCTCAGCACCATCTGCGACCCCTACCTCAACATTTTCCGAGGGTTAATTCCCCCAATTGGGGGCACCCTCGATCTATCCCCGATTCTGGCCTTCGTGGTGCTCAGCGCGTTCACCAACGCGTCCGTCGCCCTGCCCGCGGAAATGCCCGAGGGTGAGGCTCCTGGGGGGGAAGTGTCAGGGGGAAGGGGCGGAATGCTGGGCGGCAGGCGCAGGCGTCCTGTAAGGCTCACGCGGGAGCAGAGGGAGAAGATGCGCGCAGCTTCAAGAGCAGCTGAGCAGGGCCAGGAGGCTTAGAGAGATGGGGAAGCTGGTAGTGCCTGGGATGGCGGATTGCTGCTGTGCTTGCTCTGGCTGGGCAGAGAGAAAGAGGGCCTGTTGTGAACAGGGGATGGGTGGGTTTGTGTGGGGCAGATGAACAGGGGGGAAAGGAGGGATTGCTGGTGATGATACATGGGATGGTTGTGTGCTGATGTACATTTGCTGCTGCAGGGCGGGAGAGGAGAACAGCATGGAAGGGGATGGGACAACATGGTTAGTGTGTGAGAACTACCGTATGCTTGTAGAAGCGGACTGTTGGGATTGCAGATTGGTGTTTGTTTAAAGCTCGCGTCTCTAATTTCCAGCCGTTTAACACTTGGTTGGGTTTGCCAGGGTTTGATTGGGTAACGAAAGTCGAAATATTTGACGAGTGGGCGAAAAAAACACAGCGAACTCCAAAAGATCGAGGCCAAAACAAACCAGGGTGGGTTGGTTTGGGGGGAAACCGAGGCAAGGGTGACAGGTTTGGTCCTGGGTTCTGTCAACGTTCAGTTCAGAGTCTCATTTTCGGGAGTTGTAAACACTTGGTGTGCACGGGGAAGTGTGCGACAGCCAACTTTCCCAACCACCCCTTGCTTTGGTGTGCTTCGCGACAAACTCTGATGTTACCGGATTCCAACCGTTTAACACTTGGTTGGATGGCAGAAATATGAGACGCGAGCTTTAAAACCAGGGTGCACATTCAACGCGGTTCGGCTTGAGATGTTGGGAAGGGGGTTTGGAGAAAAACAGTGATTGGCTCACGAGGGGCGACAAAAAAATGATTCCGCTAGAGCTTCGGGCATTTCGTAGGTGGCGGGAGGGGGTGAAATGGCGGGAGTGGGTGAAACCGAATGGCGGGAGGGATGAAACAGATTGGCGGGAGGGGGGGGAAACGAAATTGCGGGGGAGGGGGGAAACAAAATTGCGGGGGAGGGGGGAAACGAATTTCGACGGGGAGGGGGAAATGAAATTGCGGGGGCGTGGGGAAACGAAATTGCGGGGGAGGGGGGAAACGAATTTCGACTTGAAGGGGTTGAAAGCACACCTCGTAACCCACTCAGTCAAGGGATAACCTTTGATGCACATTCAGCTGAATGTGCACCCCGGTTTTAATACCATGTTCATTAACTTCGTTTTGAGTTTGTTCCAGTGTAAGGTCTATGATTAACTCTACACTGTCGTGAGTTGAAAGGTGCTCTACTTCAAGGTAGATCAACTTCCTGATGAGTTGCTTGAATGGAAAATAACACACGTACTGTGCCTACACCCTAACCCTGCTAGTCGATTTCTCAGACACACAACACAGCCCAACGTGTGCTTACCGATAAATATCACTCATGTGTCAGAGCACAAGCGCCTGTTGATGGACTAATACGGACTGATTATTAGTACCGTAACTGACTATGAATCGGTATGGCAAGCAGACAGAACCTCCTCTGGTACACATTATTCCATGTTCGGTAAAACAACTCTTACCATTAAAACTTCTTCTGTAGCAGAACCCTGTTATCCTTGAAGCAAACCACACAGCGAGTCCTCTTGAGCACATCCATCCCCACCACTGCGCCTGCTCCCATCACTGCCAGGGCTGGCAGGTCCCCCACTATCATGGGGTGGCTTGTAAAGGGGATACGGCCGCCTGACGTCCCTGCTGGCCCTCCTTGCTTCGTTATAAGGAACAGATCGGCGACTGCTCCTCCCATTTGTGTTGTTCCACCTCCCACATCCACCATTGATGCCACACCCTGGGGAAAAGGAAGAAAGGGAGACGAATGGGTGGGGAGGAACATGGAAGGAAGCAAAAGTGACCGGATGTGGGATTTCCTGTAAATTTTCAATGATGGTGACATTGGTGGCCCATGCTAGTATTATGGTTATTTCAGTTATGTTGGTTGTCTGGTTTGCACAATGCTCTACGTACGGTTTTTCGTAAGGTCTCTAATAAGGTTCTTACAGTGGTTGTTAGCAGTAAGTTAGTTTATTTGCAAGGTTTCTACCAGGCTACCAGGCTGGTTGTTAAGGGCCATCTTACAATGCTGGAAGGGGTGACACCGGCACGGGAAGCCACTGTGGTGGTGATAAGGCTGAGTCCAGACCCCATGTCAAGAATCGCTGTCTCCAGGTGTTTGCCATTCACCGAGATCTGTGTGAGAGACACGAGAGAGAAGTGAGGAGGAATAGGAAGAAGAGACGAAGGAGAGAAGTAAAAGGATGAGGCTGATTATGTCAAGAATCGCTGTCTCTAAGTGTTTGCCATTCTTTGAAATCTGTGTGAGAGAGGTGGGGGATGAGCATGCCAGGGATGAAAGAGATGAGAGGGAGGAGGACAATGAGAGAACTGAGAGATGGGAGATGGCAGGTGGGAGATGGAGGTGAGACAGAAGAAGCTCGCTCACATGCAGAGACCCTAAACACTTGTTCGAAGGCGTTATAGAATAAAGATTGAGCCAGCTCACTGCCAAGCAGCTCGCTCCAATTGCAGGTCACTAATGCAAGCAGGTCATTTCGATAGCAGCTCACCTGGACAGCGGGCAGGTTGAATGGAACAGTGGCTGGGGCGAGCATTGCCAGCCCCTCGAAATCCAATCCCTGGGAGGCGGCAGCAGCAGAGCGCGGAGGGGGGATGGTGCCTCCTGCTGTCCACTTGCCTGCTGCTGCCAGAGCGGCCCCTGGGAGGAGAGCGGCGAGTGAGGGAAAGGACGTGAGGTATGAATGGAGTGAGAGATAGAGGGAACAAGGGACAGAAGGGAAGAGATGAATGCATAAAGTACAGGAGAAGAAGTTGAAATGAGGAATAATGGTGCCTCGTGCTGTCCACTTTCCTGCTGCTGCCAGGGTGGGCGGGGAGCTATTATACGCATAAAACCACCAGAGTGCATGATGGTGAGAGTGCTGCTCTCACCTGAGTGCATGATGGTGAGAGTGCTGCTCTCACCTGAGTGCATGATGGTGAGAGTGCTGCTGGGGAAGTCAAAGTCCATGTCAAAGGCAGACAGGAACGACAGCCCCACGATCCCCGCCACCGATCTAGGCAGGCCCGTATACTGCAGGTCCAGCACCACAGCTTGCATCGGCCCGAACCTAAACTCCCCGAGCCTCACGTCCGGCAGCAGCAGCTCCCGCCCCTGCTTCCCCTCCGGCCCCATGCCTCCCAGCCCCTGGGTCATCCTGCCCTCGTTAGTAGACAACCCGATAGTGCCATAAGCGAAATCCGGGGAGACGAGGGTGGTGCTGCTGCCGGTGTCTAGGAGGAAATCAAAGGGGCCCTTCCCGGCAACTTCTAAAGGCAGGATGACGTATTCACGTGGCTCTCTGGCGGTGGTGGCGAGGCGACGCATGGGCATGCGCAGGATGACGCCTTGGGAGGCGGACGAGGGGGCGGAAGCGGAGGCGGAGGAGGGGGTAGGAGAGGAGGAGGAGGGTGGGGAGGCCTCTGGGGTTCTGCTGCTGGTGGTGGATCGTGGAGAAGCAGTGGAGGGTGGAGCTGAGAGGCGATGGGCAACGAGCAATGAGACCAGCTGGTCCTTGTCAAACACTCCCCGCGTACTGATGCCTGGGAGGGAGGGTGAATAGTGACAACGGTGCACAACATGTGATGTAGTGGCTGTGAGGCAAGCACTGAACGCATGCAATGGGCAACCAGCAAGGAGAACAGCTGGAACTTGTCGAACACTCCCCATGAGCTGAAGCCTGGCGGATTTGGATGCAAAAAATCGGCACACACAAAGCATCTATGCGCACGAATTGGCGCAATAGGCAAGGAGAGCAGCAGCTGGTTTGTCAAACACTCCCCGTGTGCTGATGCCTGGGAGTTGAGGGTGTACAGTGAGCAATGGCAGTGACACACACAATGTGAGGTCAGGATCGTGAAGCAATGCAAGACATGGGATGGGCGATGATAAAGGAGAGCAGGAGAGTGTTTTGAAACACTCCCTGCACGCTGAAGCCTGTAAGAGAAGGTATGATGGCAACAGCCATGGGTGGATGGAGAAAAGCCATGCCTATAAGGCGAAGTCGTTTTCGCCCTGAAGTACATCTCGGGCTGTTTTGATTTTGGGGTTCGCGAATTGAGCCCTTGCTAACCGAGTGCTGAATGCTTTGTGGTGGCGTGTGCTGGGCGCTGTAATGTGCTGTGCTGTGTATTGTTGCACTATGCACTGTGCTGTAGTGCGCAGTGCGTCTCTTCTTGACTGCATGCACAAATAGCGTGTGTTCACCTGACCTGCATAACTCTTATCAGACACACGTGCTGATTCGATTTTCAAAACACCTTCTAGCCCCACAGTTGGTTTGTTATAGTCGTCACGAATCTCTTTCAGAGGCGCGACTCACTCTGATTTCAACACCCAGGCGCCTCATGATCTCCCCGAAGGTCATTTATTCATCTCACACTTCACCTGTCACGCTCTTTCGACATGCCTTGCCGTCACAGCTAATTCTATAACCGTACAGAATACCTGCCTTGTCAGGCGGGTCCCTAGTTTATTCCGCGATCACCGCATACCAGATTCATCGTACCTAGATGGTCATACCCAGGCTCTCGAGCTCCTTCTTAATCTCCCTCGCTCGCATCGCCTCCACTGCTGCCTGCACAGCTGCAGCTGCGGGACTGGCGCTTCTTCCACCTGCTCCGTCTCCATGGGCCTGGCTCCTCACACTTCGCTTGCTCTTGCCAATGCCTGCAAGTTTTGGTGGGAAGGTGACAGTTACGGAATGGCAATACATACACTTAGCATCCAAATGATTGTAAGGGAGAATTCAGTTATAAGCGTTACAACGTTCTTGAAGCAGCAGCGCGGCATAGGCAGCGGCGATACTCATTCTGACCTAACCTTTTCGAACTGACCCCAATTGGTATCCGTCGGCCAGCGGGACGAACCTCGAGTTGATAATGATCCAACCGTGGCCGGCTGCTGGGTCCCATTCAAGTCGCTGCAGCTCAAACGCTGCATTCCCATTTCAGCAAAGCCGATTGTCAGTGGCTGGCTGAGAGGCATTGTCTGACGTGATGCTCGCAATGCGATTCCTCGCGACTGTCGCATGCTTGGTAGCATCGCCGTTGCCGATTTTGCCTGCCATCGCAACCGCGACGTCCACGGCGTCTGCCGTTGCGCCCCCACGGTTCTCGTTAGCCGTGGCTCCGAAGACGAAGATATCGTCCCTACGCAGCACTTTCTTGACGGAAACAACGCGTGAGTCACGGTGGGATTCCGTCCCATCTGGCGAGTCGCCATTCTCTACTTCGGAACTTCGAAACTCCCTAGTGACCACACAGGTGTTGTGTAGCATTTTCTCGCCTGGCAATTCCCATCAACCGTCGCTATACGGTAGCTCGCTTCATCGCAAGAGCTTATTACCGTACTTCAGTACTTTCACAGCATCACACTCACAAGCGCCCTACTATAACACAGATATAGTCAGCCCAATTCAACGTCACCGTGTCCACATAAGCCCAAGAGGGAAGACACCAAACAGCTTTCACGTACGATTTAAAGAGGCCTTAACAGTTCAGATTCGCGCTCAGCGTAATTTACTCAGCTCCAAAAGAGAAGCATGCTTTGAGCATCAGCACATCATCCCAAGATCAGTAAGAACTAACTGGTGTGCTGTAACTCATTGCAAAGCTGGTCGTTGCAAATTATTGACTGCACGTTGTCATGGCTGCTGAGGTGCTTGCTCTAGCAATGCTTGATTTGCCAGCTCAGGTGCCAGGTTTTCTTGCAGTTGGTTCCACACAGTCTCCACTTGATGGACGAAATCTGAAAAGAGATGGAAATGCAAACAACACGCCACAATTTGGGAAGCACACCAGGTTAAAATTTGTTCCAACAAGGAAGAGAACTCAAGCAAAAAACTGCAATTGTTGGGCTTCTATGGGCGGAAAACTTGCCTTGAAATGTTGGATCCAGAATACACGCCTGCAGCGAGCACAGATTATGTTGGGAGGTGATAGCAAGTTGAACATCAAAACCTGAATTCTCAGCCTACCTGAAGTTGAATGGAAAGTGGAGGCGCCTCTTTAACTGCATGAGAAACGAAAGCGAAATCAGCAAAGAAGCCTTATGCACAACTACATCTAAATTCTAAGACTCAAACCTGCACTCTGAGGTTGGCTGGGCTGAGTCACGCAGCTATGTAGCTTTGCTTCTTTCTCGTCATTCATCAAGCCCTGTAAGAAAAAAAAACTGGCATGTCACAAAAAACTTTTCGAGTACATAATGTTTTCTCGAAAAATCACGAACCTGAATAGCGGCTGAGAAGGATTGAGCAGCAGCAGCAGTCTCGAATCTCATCATAAACTTCTGCATCTGAGGTATGTTGAGCGTTTACTGGGATAAGCTTGTCACATACGAGTACACGCTTCTTACCTGTGATGGAGAATCTGCTGTGGCATAGCACGCAAAGACAACTCTAGAGGGTATAGCCTCTGCAGAGTTTTGTGGCCGACAGATTGGCTGGAAAAAGTGAACTCTTAAGACGTAATGTTGCTCCTGAAAGATGGCCACAACGTTAGAAATCATGCCGCATACGTTTTCATCAGCAAAGCTCGACGGTTCGTGGCAAGATTTCTCACGTAAGTGACTCCACAGATCAGGGAAATCGTGGAGAGCTTGGGATCAGCACGTTTGACGAGCGTGACTGTAACAAGGTCTCTGCTCTTCAACCAGTGTCCTCGAGTTGGTCTGCCTTTCAGGCCAGAGAACTTCCCGACGGCTGCTTGCAGGAAAGCCGTCTGCGTTGCAACGCACTTACTCAAATGAACTTGCCAGGACAGCGAACCCAGCTCCTCGTCGGGTCGCATTCCGGCCATCGGTATGGAATCGCGAAGGATGGATTAACAATAACTGCGTTTTCGTGTACTAATATAGACTCTGGAGTCGTGAAGGATGGACAGAAGAGTAACGTGCTTGGGCGAGCCGCACAAGGAAAAACGGCTCTTGTGCTGCTGTGAAATGTTGGGCTTGAAGCTTTGAAGAAGCATGCTGGGTCCAGATTGTGCAACGGTATAAGGGCGGGTCAAATTTCGAATCTGGAAAAATCGTGCGGCTACACTCGTTTGTGAATCGTGACGATTTTCGAGAGTGTTGCAAACTTCTTCTTCTGCGACGTTTATGTCTTCCGCGTCCAATCAGAGATGCTTACCAATCTCTCGTAAAGCAAATATTCGTTGGGCAAGATTGCGTGTCGATGTGGTGTCGCGAAGACGCTGCATGAACTTGGTTCGGATTTGATGTATTTCAACCGAAACGAAAAATGCTGACCCGCCCTATTCCTATCTGATCAAAGTCAAATGCTACAAAGCCTTCTAGAGAAAAGTTTTGCATATATAAAGATTACATTGCAGTCATCAATCTCTCAATTACGTTAAAGTTGTTTATACTACCATCCTGAAATGTTTCAAGGATAAATTATAGGCAGAATGCTGAAACCATGGCAAAATCTCTACTACCGTAATCTATCTAAAAACCACCATGCGTTTTCATGAACTCCACTTCCGCAGGTGTGCTCTCCCTTCCCAATGCATCATTTCGGTGCGGATACCGACCAAACTTGACAATAATATCCCGGTGCCTGTGTGCAAAATTCAAACCTCCATTGAAAAATCCCTTCACGGGACCTTCAGGGGCCTCTTCAACCATTTGAGTCATCAGCTCAATACATCTATCCTGTGCTGCCAAATCTGCGGAAGCAGGCATATGAACCAGAGAACACAAGCGAGTCACAGAATGACCACAGAGAGGAGGGTAAGCTTCTGAATGCTAACATGTAAAGAGGAGGGAGCTGACACATGAACAAAGAAAAGCCGTACCTTCTGCATGCTCAAACGGCAGGTAGAAGAAAGGCCGACCAACCCGGGGCACCTGCCGGTCAAAACCCTTGTCAATGGCCCTGCATGCATGGCACCAGCACAACATTACCCAACTTATTTATGAGAGAGGACAATGTGCCTGTTTTGTTTCACGTCAACACAGAGGAGTGTGCTGGAGGTCGGGATGAAATTAAAATGGTGTGTTGTGATGGCTGGTTCCATAGGAATCTGCTTGATTATTTTGTTCAAAAACTTTTTCTTCTGCACGTATAAGAAGCAGAGCATGCTGAGGATGAAAAAGTAGTTATTTTCTACGCTTGTTTACTTGACGGGCCCACAAGAAGTGCTTAAACATGAGATAGCTGAGATGAGAATGGATTTAGTACCAGAAAGGTGATAGAGACACTCACCGCTTAGCAACCTCCAAAGCAAAGTGGTCCTGGAGAGGAAAGAAATTAAACGAGTAAGACAAGGAAGAAAGGCAGACATATTGGGGCGATTGAAGAAAACGAGTTCTTGTTTTGCATTGTAACCTCCACAGCAACATAGTACCGGAGGGCAAGACCATGAGTGAACTGACAGTGCGTAGGTAGAACATAACACAGAAAGACACATGCACAGCGACTGAGCATTGTATTCAGTAAAAAAATATGCTATTTCACCAGATGCTGCAGGTGCTGACCTGTGCAAAAGCATCTGTGGAGCCCCTGAAGCTGTTCCTCTTGAACGTGACTTTGGAAAACGCTTTAAAATAAAACCCTACACAGCAACAAGAAAGAAGTAGACGAAGAAGGAAAGACGGTGCTTACCTGTGCAAAAGCCTCTGGCGAGCCCCTGAAGCTGTTCCTCGTGAACTGATCAAGCAGCACC